AGGAGGCAGAGGTTGCAGTAAGCCAAGGTTGTGCCACTGCACTGCAGTCTGGGCAATAGAGCGAGACTCTCTCAAAAATAAAAATCCATATTTACCCAAGAAAACATGCTGTCTTGAGGCTGCTCATCCCCATCTCATCGGAAGCTCAGGTGATTTTACGTATACAATAAAGAAACTTTAAAAAGTTTCTTTGACTTACCTGTGCAGTTCACAGCATTTTTCCAGTGCTTATCACCTGGTCTCTGGTCTTACCATTCATCAGATGAAATGAAGAGCAGCCTAGTCTAGTGGTTACCAGTACAGACTTTGGAAGCAGATGGCTGGGATTCGAGTCCTTGGCTCCAACAGCTTTCAGCTGTGTGGTTTTAGGCAAAGTGCTGACTCTACGAGTTTACACCACAGCAGATATTGATTGAACAATCACATGTAAGTGGTGAAATCACAGGTGGGATAAATGTTAAGGAGGCAAGATACCCGGGGCTGTGAAAGCATGTGAAAAGAGATTTTTCTGGGTCAAAGAGTCAGATTAAAACTGGGATGGAGTTAACTATGCAAAGGAGTGGGGTTGGCATCAGATTGTTACAGTTAGAGAAACACCGTGCACCCTGTGTAGTGGGCAGTATTGTTGCAGTAACAAATGATCTCCAAATCTCAGTAATTTCGACCACAAGGTTTATTAAAGGGAGGTTGTGCATTGATTGAAATGCTCTTGGGCTGCAGCAGTTTCTCATTCAGGGACTCAAGCTGAAGGAACAGCTTCCTAAGTCAGATATGCTGTTCTCACAGTAGAAAGAAAGACCAGAGGCAGTGTGGACATTTGTTCTCCTCTTAAAGTTTCTACTTGGATGTGGCCTCTTTCATGTCTGTTTTTGTTCCTTTGGTCAAAGCCCAAGGCCAATGGGACAAGGCCTTTGGACAAAGCCTCCCACTGGGACAAGGAAAGCTGCATGGGAGTGGGCAGGAATGCAGTCCTCTTACAGGGAAAGCGGGGTGGTGTCAGGTTGTAATGGAGGTCTGAGGGGAGTTGGTGTGGTGAGTGGTGGGTAGCTGGACAAACACTCCAGGAATCGTTGATAGTTTCAACATGGCTTTACTCTCTCTCTAAGTGCGAGTGAGTCTGGGCACGAGCAAGCCTGGGGATGAGCCATATGTACAGCATTAGAGGGATAATTATACTTTTACAGACAAGAGTGGCTCGAGCCAAGCAGGAGCTCACATGTGATCACCTAATGAACTTCACATGGTGTGGTTACACAATGTGCAGGATTGTGCATCTGTGCTCCAAACCCACTGAGTTATGCTGCTCCGGAAGGCTGCCTCAGCCTACTCCTGACTAAAGTGCAGCCATTTCCGTTACCCTCCACCTCCCAGGCCGAGGGTGTTCTCCAGTAGAGACATGTACCCATACGGTAGAGCCCTGAATCTATAACCCACAGCAACAATACAGAGAGCAATAGCTACTAGGATCCCAGTTATGATATTTATAACTATTACGGCTCAGCATAGGTTAGAGTCTAGGGATGCCCACCATCTTTGCAGGGGGTCATCAGTAAGGCTCTCTACAACCTTAATCTGCTGAGACCGCTTGCAGGGCTGCTGTTATGTTCTACTGCTCGTTGGGGATAAAGGTGCAACACTGTGTTCCTAAAAGGTACTGGTGCCTCCTTGGGCAGCAGTTACCATGTCTAAGGCCATTCAGTTTTGCAACACCACCTTTCTGATCTGATCGACCCCATCCATTAATAGAAGGAGGGCCCCTTGGGTGTAATTCAGAGCCTGAGTGGTGTGCTCTGGAAAAGCAGCAACTTGTGCTTCTATAGTTATGACACCCGCTCCAGGGATAGTCACTGCCAAGGTGTAGAACCACCAGGGGGCTCATCACACTCACAAAAATCAAGAGCCTAGCGCCTCCCAGTTATGCAGCCATCCAGGAAAACTGAGGAGAACAGTGGCAGGTACATAAGGCCAACCACAGGTACAATGTCCAGGTCAGTCTGCTGGTAGGTAAGGCCACCCTGTGTCCCCAGTGACCCATAAACTCCCAGGGGCCACAAAATCCATCAGGGCCTGACCTTGGTAGAGCACTTGTTCTACCATACCTTCGGTGTGGTGACGTGTTATGTTTACACAGGTCGTGATGGGTACCCATCCCATAGTGGTGTTACACCAGTGTTGCTCTGTGCACTGTAGTGCCTGGGCTGGGGGTATGACATGTTTCCCCACTAGCCAGCCCCACCCTTCATAAACACTATGGGCCAGCCTGTGGGCAGGCATGCTCTGGGTCTTGTGGCATCCTTTGTCCACAGCTTGCCATGCCACATTCCAGGCATCAGCCACGGACTCCACGTCTCCAGCCAGACCAGGTGCTGAATGTATGTGCAGATGCTGAATGTATGTGCCAAGGCAAGCCGTCTGCAGCGCTGCTGGAAGGGTGACACAGATTCAACAGTTGGAAACATGGGTCCCCTTAGTGTAGGTGTGGAACCAGTCCACAAAGCAGCTGGAGCATGTTAACCTACGGTGGAAATGTCAGAGCAGGCACAGGTACTAAGAGAGTTAAATCACAACTCTCAGGCAAAATACAAGCTAACCTTTCATCTCTGGATAACAATGCAGATTCCCAGGGCTTTTTCCCTGGGAGATGGTGCCACACTTTCTCAGCTCCTGACGGTTCCTTTGAGTCCTGTATCTGTGTCAAAGTCACAGGGGGGTCTCATAATAGGCCACACAGACAGTACATATGACACCTGGAGAGAATTCCTTCCCTGGCCATTCTTCTATGAACAGTCAACCAAGGGGGCCATGTACTGAACACCCAAGGAATGAGGTGCAAGTCATACTGTAGGCCCTCCCCACAGGGAGCTATGATGGCCAACCACCGAAAGTAGGGTCTTGGAGGGTCCATGGCCAAAGTGAGGTTTTCTGTTCTCCTGCCTTCAGGTGTGTTGGGGCAGGCAACAAAAGGTTTCCATTCATCCCCATACGTGGTTGGAGAAGGTAATCCTTGGTGTGTATCTGCAAGTGAAAGTTGGGGGAGGGTAGACCAGTGTAACAAAGCCATCACCAGGGCCAGGCCGGCTGCATTTCTGTAGCTGTTCATTCAAGGTTTGGAGCACCAGGTCCAACCTTGAACTGTGGGCCACAAAGATGGGGTGACATGTAAGTGTAACCCGCTCTTCAAGAGCCCATCATATCACTCAATTATACCCACAGCTTATGGGTTGTATGGCACACGGAATCCCCACTTTATGCACTTTTGTTATGCCCATTGTTGTACCTGTTGTCAGTGAAATATGTTCCCCTATCACTCTCAATGGCCAGAGGACAGTCACACAGGGCACATAAATGTTGCAGGACCTGGATGGTGTTCCATCGGGCGGCCACCCTGCAAACGTAGGTAAACAACAGACGTGTGGCCATGTGCACAGCTGCTAGTGCGTGTGTGTACCCTTGCAACTTCTGCAGTGGCCCGACGTAGTCTACTTGACACCAAGGGCACTTACCCTATCATTACTTGTGTAACCACTGGTCAGCTGCCTCCATTTAGGGTATGCCTGAGCACATGCTGGGCATTTCTGACAAGCCTCCAGAATGTCTTGTGTGGGCAAGGACAGACCCCAACACTTATTTTCCTGTTGCATCAGTTTATCCCCCTGCAAGTCTCAGTTTCCAGTGGAGCCACAAGGCCACATCTCATGTAGGTGCAGACTCCAACCATCGGACCTTGGCCAAAACATCTGCCTCATCATTGCCAAGGGTAGCCAAAGGCATATAGCCTGACACAGGCTATAGTTACCTCTTTCTGATGACCCATTTCCCAGAGGTCTTGCCAAATGACTTGGTCCCAAATGGGTCAGTGGCGGGACTAGCCACTTCTCTATTTTCCAGATAGTTAACCACAAGGTTAAGCCTCGAAAGACTGCCCATCTATCAGTAAAGATTACCATCGGTGTCACCTCCTTGGTGATCACCATCCATACTGCTCTAAGTTCAGTCCATTGGCTACTCTGTCCACACCTGGTTTCAAACCATATGATGTCAGTACTAGGTTGGACTGCAACAGCAGTCCAGGCAGCAACAGCACCTTGGCTAGACCCATTTGTGTATCATGCCCCATCAGGAATGGGGGAATGCCCTTCCTTAAACAGTGACGGCTCAGGGTCTAGGGGTGCTTCAGGTCCCATGGCCTTATCTTGCATTAGGACTACAGGTCCCAAGACCTCTTGCATCTCTACTGCTAAGACACTTGTACTGCGTGTATGCTGCTGCTCTAAGTAGGTGCCCTGCTTTGCCAAAGATGTCTGTGCTCTCCTAGTCTGGGGGGTCATTACTCATGAATGTACCCATCCTTCTATTGGTTAAGATGTCCACACGATGACTGCAGCCCATCCAGTCAATCTCACAGCCTGAAGGGAGGCATATACAGCAGTTAGCTTTTTCTCTATCAAGGAATACTGGAGCTCAGCTCCCTTTCATAGTTGGGACCAAAAGCCTACTGGAGTTCTCATGCAATCCATGTACTACTCCCATAGGCCCCAATCAATACCATCTGTGGTCACATGCACATCCAGCTCAAATGGGCACCCAACCAACTACCTGCAGGACTTTTGCCTACTGAATAGCCCACTTGGCTGCCAGGAAGGCAGTCTCAGCCTCATCATTCCAATCCCAGGTAGCTACCTTCTTTGTTAACTGATGCAACGGTTTTTACCATTTGAGCTAAGTGGGGTACAAATACCTGTCAATATTCCAGGAGGCCCACAAAAGTGTGCAGCTGCTTCACCATGGTGCGGTGGATTATGCCTGAATCTTATCAATGATAGCCTCTGAGATGGCCTTTGTCTCACCCGACCAGGTGACTCCCAGGAATGTGGCAGATAATCCTGGTCCTTGGACCTTGGATTTGTTGATGGCTCAACTGCATGCTGCCAAATGTGGCCATAAGAGGGGAGCCACTGCTTCTAAATCTGCAAGAGAATCAGAAGTTAACATAGTATCACCAATATAATGGAATAGATGGACCCTTTCTGGACAATGTCAGGTGTCTAAATCTGTGGCAACTAGACCATGACATTCGGTAGTGCACACAGCCCTGTGGCAACACTGTAAAAGTCCATTGTCACCCATCCCACATGAAGGTGAACTGTTCCTGGCTCTCTGGAGTCATGTCTCTGGAGAAAAATGCATTGGTTAAGTGCACTGCATAGTGGTACTGTCCCAGTTCCATTGTCAAACGGTCCATCAAATCCATGACTGATGGTACAGCTGCATGCAAAACGGGTGTTACTTTATCTAGTTTCCGAGAGTCCACTGTCACCTGCTAAGTTCCATCAGGCTTTCTAACTGGGTACACTGAAGAATTGTAGGGGCTATGGATTTCACGCACTATCTGCACCTCTTCCAGCTTTTTAATTGTCTCAGTTATTTCTGTATGCCCATCCAGTGAACAGTATTGATGAGTGGAAGTAACTCATCAGGGCTGTGGAAGGACCGGAGGCTGGTGATGTGTATGTCCATCTAGCAATGGCTTCACCACATGCACCTGGCATCTGAATTCCCTGGCTGTGGTTTTTAACACCAGGGCATATAAAATGCCCACCCCCAGAATGTATTCTGGTATGGGAGAGACATATATAGCATATAAATGGGGAGCCAAGTGGCAGATGCCGAGGTACAGAGATACAGGTTTCACTTTCACTGACCGGCCTCCATAACTGTCAGTGTAAGCAGGCTTGCCTAGAAACTTATCCAGGTTCCCATAAACAAGGCTGCAATCTGCGCCAGTATCCACCAGAGCCGGCACATGCTGTATATTGGTGGGGACCAATGGATCACTAATTCCATATGTGGCCTCTGGTCGTCTGATGTTCCCCCAAGCTGGGCACCTCGGCCTGTTCCCTAATCAAACAGAAAAGGCTCTACATTTTTGCCTGGCCGCAGCAAGTAGTCTTTGAGCTGAAGTGCTTGCGTGGGACCTGGTCACACAGCAATATCCTTCTCCTCCTTGGGCATTTTCTGGAATTGGTGCTTCAGAGACAGCTGTTTCCACAAAGTTAAGAGTACTTCATTGGGCTGTTTATTGATTTTATCCTAGTCAACCCTGGCCAAAATCGAATCTACTCACATCTGTGTGTGTCATTCATTGGAGCCCCCTTTTCTCCCATGGGGGGGCCTCCTGAGGGCAGGGGATCTTCGCCTTTTGTATGATGTGGACCCCTTGGTCCCACTGGCAGCCTTCTGCTTCCCTGAGAGCCACCACAGTGGCTCACAAAGTGAGTGGTCACTTTGTGTATGCATGCCCTATGTATGGGGTGAGGAGAGCAGCTAGGGAGCCAAGGGCACTCAAATCATCTTAATAGATGCACAGAACAAAACACGAGGGCACAGAACCCAACATGAGATCCCTCATGTGGGAGGTGAACACAGAACCCAGCACGAGCTCCCTCATGTAAGGCACAGAACCCAACACAAGATCTCTCATGTGGGAGGTGAAACATTCATCATCTAGCCCCTGGGTATTCAGGTCAAACCTAGCCTGCCTCATACCCATCTCCCAGATGACTTGCACCAAATCGGCCTATAACTGCCATTTACTCACAGTTTTGGGTATTTCACCGGCATTGATCCACAAAATCCGTATGGCTGCCCATAGCCACTCAATCAGTGTGTGGTCACCCTGCCCTTGTGCCAACTGACTGCTTTCCTGCAACTGCTGATGGAGGGAGAGGTGAGTCATGATAGAGGCCAGCTTTTCCATCTCAGAGGCAGAACAGGAGATACTCTCTGCTCCCTTGTCCCACAAACAAAGCATCCAGGTGGGCAGAGGTTCCCCTGGATGCTGGTGGCACTGCTTGCCTGATTCCTGTGACTCAGTTGGGGTAGAGGCAGTATATACAGTATTTTGCATTACAATGGGAGAATCCCTGAGGGGGCCCAATGGTTGTTCATGATCTACCTACTGATGAACCACTGGGCAAGCCTGCAACAGGGGATTCTTCATCCTTTGTATCAGACCGAGTGGGGGGTCTCTGGCTGAGAAGATGGATCCAAGCCTGAATTCACGGCAGCCTCTAGTTCCTTTTCCAAGCTCTGTAGTTGGGCCTTCAAGCGCTCCACCTGCTCCTGGAGTTCCCATTCATGGCAGTTTCTAGCTGTTTTTCTGAGCTATGTAGCTGGGCCTCCAGGTGCCCCACCTGTGCCTGGAGGGAACTTACCTGTGTTTCTTCTCTCAGGGACGTGGTATGTACTTCTCATAGCCAGAAATGCCATCCAACTCTGCCAGCAAAAGCTTGCTCCTTCTTGGTGCTCTGTGCTCCAGCTGCAGCAGTGCCTTCTCCATGCTCATGGAGGACCCATCTTCTGCTGCCCAGATTTCTACCAGAGCCCATCTGAGCAGTATAGCTGCTGCTGGGTACCAAAACCCATGTTGCGGCCACATGGTCAACCCGGAATCTGTGGGGACCAAAGGCTCACTCACCTTAGGATCTGTTTATGACGCCAATTGTCAGGTTCTAACTGAGGTCCAGGGGGAGTCAGGTGAGAGGCGGGTAGCTGGAAAAACACTTAAGGAATTGTGGACAGTTTCAACATAGCATTACTCTCTCTCTGGGCATGGGAGAGCCGTATGTACAGCATTAACAGGGTAATTATACGTTTTACAGACAATAGTGGCTCTGAGCCAAGCACAAGCTCACATAGGTGATCACCTAATGCACCTCATATGGCATGGTTACACAATGTGTGGAGGGGTTGTGTGCCTGTTCTCCAAACCTGCTGAGTCATGCTGCACCAAAAGGCTGCGTTGGCCTACTCCTGACTAAAGCTCAGCCATTTCCCTTAAAAGTGGGAATAATAATTGAAAAAATAATATAATTTACTATATTAAGGCTCTGTAGTAGCTAGAAAATGGCAAAAAACCTGGAGGTCTTCATGGCTACAGCTGAGAGAGCTTGCAGAAGCATAATGAGAGAGGGGATTGGGTTGGCAGGTGGGGCCACCCCAGGTGAGCAAATCTGACCTTGATACTGTGAGCAATGGTAAACCACCGACCTTCACCCAACTAATGTTTCTGTCCCCTTATTGGTTAAATGAATACTCTTTATGTTTTTCTGGTCTCTAAAGTAATACCTGTTCATTATAAAAAATTTGGAAATGACAGATGAATAAAAAGAAAAAAATACAAATGACCTTTAAATTTTACAACCCAAAGAATCATCATTGATTGATATTTTGGTGAATACATCTCTAAATGCTTTTCATGCAAATATTTTAAAAAGAAAAATTGGATCACCTTCTTCAGCTGTTATGAATATTTTTTAACCTTATTAAACATTCTCTCTATGATAATTTAGTCACTATACAGATGTGCCACAATTTAACTAGTTTCCTGTTTATTGGATATCTGGGTTTTTGTAATTTTTCCATTTTATAAAAATTCCACAATGAGGTTCCTTATATTTAGCAACATCCATGTAACTTTTTAGAATGGGCATTTTTATCTTAAAGGGTATGACGGATTTTAGGCTATGGACATATACTGCCCATTCTCACTAAAGAAGAATTGTAGCTAATCACACGCAACCTCAGAGCATGATTCACCAGCTCTGATTATAATTATTTTATATCGCAAATCCGATCAGTGGACAATATTGTCTTATTTTTACTTTGCATTTGCTTCCTATTTAAAAATAGAACTTAAAAAAATAATTCCCCGTGGTTTCATCAGGGAAAGATTCATCTGATTCAAAATCTGGGCCTTTGGATTTGGTGCCTAGAATGCACTCCTGGTTTCTCTTCAGCAAATTATGGCTACTTTGTCCCTTATAACTCATTGCAAGATTTTTTCCTCTGCTTTCTACCAGAATCCTTCTCTTCTTGTCTCTGCCCCAACTGTCTCCTCACTGTAGGAGCTGCCAGTGAGCATGCAGGTAATGGGTTCCACATATGTGGTGAGATGACATGATTCACATGCACATCGTCTCCACATGGGGAGGGTGCTCTCCTGTGATTTAACTTTGTGACCTTCTCTAGTGTCTCACCCTGGGCTCTGCATATGTTATGGTACATAAATATTTGTGAGTGAATGATAAGAAAAGTCATCATGGCACAAATGAGTGGATAATTTTTGACTTGATGGATGACTCAATTGTGGAGCCTTCTATATAGATATATTAATAAAATATTGTAGACCAAAGTCATCGTGAATGCCACTCAAGATCTCTTTTTAGATTGTCCACCTATCATTAATACTTTTTAATAATTTCAACTTTATGAATTTGGGGGTACATGTGCTGGTTTGTTACATGGGTATATTGCATGATGCTGAGGTTTGGGGTATGAATGATGTTGTCACCCTGAGAGTGAGCATAGTTCCCAATAGTGTTTTACTCTGCCTCCCTTCCCCTCTGTTGCTTCCAGTAGTCCTAGTGTCTACTGTTCCCATGTTTATGTCCATGCCAACCATCAGTTTTTAAGCTTTCACGTAAAGCTTAGCAACATAGGACATTCTGATTTAACAGAAGCCCAATTACATTATCTCTTTCTGATATTTTTATTTTTCCCTCTAGCTAGAGTCAAAAGAACTTACATCGATTTAAAATGCAACATAGTTTCCAGCTAATTTTTATTAAGGATTTGAGGGATTCTTTTCTCTGGTTATAGGCTGTGCTAACGTCTTGTCAAATTAGTCTGACAATGTCAATTGTATCTGTATTCTCCTTTTCTCATGTTATGGGGAGAGAGCAAAAGACTTAGAACACAAAAAGACCATTAACAGAGCATTTGGCTGTGCCAGTAAGGAAGGTGAAGAGGACGGCATTCGTTGACACGGTTTTGCCTTCAGCAGTAGTGGGTTAGGTGCTCAAAGTCCCTCAGGAGCCTCAGATGGCCTGGGTGTATGATGATGTCTCTCTGTCTTGGCATTGTTCTAAAACTGGCCCTCCTATATCTGTGGCCACTCACATGTACCCTTGTCCTGAAGGAGGTGGGACTCAAGCCTGTCAAGCATTTGCCCCATAATGTCATGCCTTCTGAGTTAGAAGTATAATTTAGGATTATTCTATTCAAAAAGCTTCCTTTTACTATCTATGTGTATCTCATTAGTCATGTTGTTAGCCCCAAATGTACACAATAAAATTTATTTGAAAAAAAGGAAAAGCTCTGCATTGCCATCTCCAGTGCCTAGAATGATGGCATGAAATCAGGCCTATCTGCCTTCCTTATGTGCAGCAATACTATCAGATGGTGCATGAATCTACATGCAGTCTAGCATATGCTCACACTGCCCTCTTCTCTTTTGCAGATATTCTCCATGCCTTCAAATGAGAGATGCCCATCTCCTTCCAGGAACAGTAGGATTTTGGTTTTTAATAATTGTTTTCCAAGGAAAGCCAGGCACACCTGAACAGGTGTTTTCTCCATGAATTACTTAATTAAAACAGCTCCCCAAAGGCCTTTGTAATACCAGAGAAAGACAGTGAAGCACAGATATTTAATTTGGAGTAATTCCTATATTAAAATGGGAGGAAATACAATCTGGCCTACTTAGGGGACTGCATAAAAAAATCCATTAGTGAAGAATGTCACCCTTTACAGCAGTGTTTCCAGAGTGTCATATGAAGACCACTTACCTTAGAAATGTTTTGGAACTTGTGAAAAATTTAGGTTCATGGCATCTAACAAACATGGCATAACAGACTCTGAGAAGGTGAAGCGTGGGGGCTGCATTTTAACATTCATCTCAGAACATTTCTATGTACCAATACAGAGCTTAGGGATATTCTGGGAAAGTCTGAATGTGATAATGTCTTGTTAAAACTCTGTGTATCACAACATAGTGTCTCTACAACTAAACTGTTAGGTCCGTGAATATAGTGATCAAGGGAATTTGATCTGGTATCCCCAGGGCCCAGCACAATCTTTGTCACATAGGTTTTCAGTAATTAGTTAAAAATAATCAGTTAATGAATCAGGTACCATATGGCCAACTTAATTTTCAGTGCACAGGAACCCCTCTAAACTTGCTAATGTCTTGCTAAAAAAGTGAGAGGTTATGGTTCCCTAAGAATGAGGAATTGGGTCCTTGGAATATTTGAGATAGATAGGAATTCTAAAAGTTTTTTTTTTTTGGAGACATGTGGTTCAGGTAGAAGCGGTGGCATAATTATGGCTCACTGCAGCCTCAACCTCCTGGGCTTAAACTATCCTTTTTCCTCAGCTTCCTGAGTAGCTGGACTACAGACATGCACTACCACATGTGGTTCATTTTTAAATTTTTGGTAGACAGGACCTTACTCTGTTGCTCAGGCTGGTCTTGAACTCCTAGGTTCCAGAGACCCTCCTGCCTTGGTCTCCCAAAGTGCTGGGATTACAACTGTGAGCCACCACACCTGGCCATCCTCTCTCACTTCTAAGGAAGAGTTCCTCAATTATTCTCAGAAGTGTTCAAATGGTAAGGGCGGACATCTTGGTTAGAAAGAAAAGGTTGAGATCTGGAGCTAAACGAGATTCTCAATCTCTTCCTTTGTTGGTGCTGGTGAAAAAGCGTTCTTAGAAGTTATCTGGTTCACATGCTGTGATCCTTTTCATTCCTGCTTTGATGCCTAGCCAACTTCAGAGTGAAGGCCTTTTTTATTTAGATGCCTGATTCCTCTTTGAGGTCTGTGTTCTAGCCATTCTCTTCTTCATGTCTTCAGTGGAAACAGAGATAGAGGACCTACTTTTGGGTAAAATCATATCTGAGCAGACTCTGTTTTCATTTCTGCCTCCTGGCTCATTCTATTCCATGCCCTTCTGTACCTCAAATTTTGAAAATGAAGGGGTACTCTTAGAAACATAATATATTAGAACATTCTCAGAACTTAAGTTAAATATAAGAAAAATTAACTTTTAATTTAAAAGAGAATAATACATGTATATATATTTTTAGATGGAGTCTCGCCTGTTGCCCAGGCTGGAGTGCAGTGGTGTGATCTTGGCTCGCCACAACCTCTGCCTCCTGGGTTCAAGCGATTCTCCTCTCTCAGCCTTCTGAGTAGCTGGGATTACAGGCACACGCCACCACACCCAGCTAATTTTTGTATTTTTAGTAGAGACGGGGTTTCACCATGTTGGTCAGGCTGGTCTCGAACTCCTGATGTGGTGACCTGCCTGCCTTGCAAGGTCTCCCAAAGGATTACAGGCATGAGCCACCACACCTGACTGAGAATAATATACTTTTAGAGAGTAATGAGCCAATAGGCAATGCTGAGGCTCTGAAGGATTTTGCATGGGTATACTGCAACTGAGGACAGTCTGGGGCTTGTTCTCCAGAAATGTGCAGTCCCTCCACTGCTTTCATGGGCACTTCTTAGTGGATTCCAAAATGAAATTTATTCATACCAAGTCTTCGCTTTGTGCCAGGGAGTGTTATAGGTGCTGGGCATTGGTCTTGATATTTTCAAGACACCCAGAATACGTGGTCTGAGGGCTGAAAGCATCCCTGCTACCTAGGAGCTTGTTAGAAATACAAACTTTCTAGCCCTAAACCATACTTATTTCAGCAGATACTCTGGGTGCTGGGGCCATCAATCTTTATTTTAACAAGTCTTGTAGGTGAGCATGGTTTATGCCCAAGGTTGAAAAGCACTGGTTTAAAGGAACATTTTCAGAAGAGGTATCTGCTCCTACTGACTTTTTGTCTCCACTTCATATGGGATGTTCTTTGGTGTGTATATTATTATAATTATGCATCTTTTAAGATTAAACTATGTTAAATCCCAGGCATGGTTTTGAGAAAAGCAAATAGCTGGAAGCCTATTATGTCCCCAACATGCATCATATCATTTGACCTAACAACATAGACTATCTTCATTTTACAGTAGAGGAGAGTGAGACTCATAGAATATAAAAAACTAATGTGAGATAATGCAGCTGATAAGGAGCAGACCTGAGGTTTAATTCAAGATCTCTGAGGCATTAATGCTTGCATTCTTCCCCATTCTTCTGCAGATTTTTCAGGTCCTGACTTTTGTTTTAATGCACTGCACAAGGACTTTTCTAAGTGAGTTTTAAGGAGGCAACTACACGGTTTTAGTATCTTCTTGCATCACCAATAGCATTGTCTTTGGACCCACAGAACCATGAGAGTTGAGCATTTTCCTGAATACACCACACAGAGCTGGCTTGGAAAGATTCACTGGAACTTACAGGCTGAGAGGAGCCTGATTATCATGGGATCGTCCCTCCTAACTATCTATTAAGCAGTTCCTGAAAACCATGTGTTTTCTTTATTCTGTTCCAATAGCCAAAATAAGTCATATTTCATGGACTGAAGGAAACCAGAGTAATCCCAGTGGAAGAATATTCATTGGGAATATGTGAAAATCTGTGCTGAAGGCAGATCTGTGCTTTCTTTGAAACTAAAGTTATCGGGGAACTCATGCTTGGTTGGCCTTGAGCAAAGTAGGCAACATTACTCATTCATTTATTCACTCACCCTCTATGTCCATTTTGAATCCACAGCCACATGAATCCAAACACACAACAGCTGACTTGAACACAGCAAGACTAGTGCTGTGACAAGTGAAGGCAAGATGCCGTGGAAACACAAGAGGCAATCTGCCAAAACCTGGGCGGTGAGGAAAGCTTTCTGAATGAAGCATGTGGTATCTAGGCTGGTACCTGAGGATGTTAAAGGCACTGCCAGCTGGAGAGTGGTCAAGGAGAGACCTGTGGGAAGAGGAGAGGGGTTTCTCAGTAGAAGGAGCAGCATGTAGAGAACAGACTGTAGAGAGTCAGGTGATCTAGGCCTTGTAACTGTGCCTCCACCTACCTCTGCTTTTGGGGGAATCCAAACCAAGATGGAGATGAAATATGAACTTTAATCCAGGCATTCAAAGTCTTGGCTTTCTTATTATTTTTGTTTATCACCATCATCATTATTATCACTTTACAATTTTATTATTAATATTGCTAATAGGATTGCAGGCTATATTAATGTAACTATGTGCTCAGAATAAAGAAAGGAGAATCCTATTTGCTCTCTTCTCAGATTAGATGCATCTGGGGTTCACTTGTGATGGTCCCACTTAAAGGGGATAAACTGCAGTGTGTTCAGAGATAGAAAATGGAAAACATCCCATTTGAGGAATATCTAAAAGAACTGTTCATCTTCTTTAGGAGAGACAGAAGAGATGGCTTTCAATTGTTAAATGCTATTATGGAGAAAGGGCTTTCCTGACATTCAACTGAAGGCTCTCACATGAAACTCTCATAACACTCTTTAAACCATAAGCTTCATTGGGGGAAGTACCAAGTTGTCCTACTTCTGCTTCCTAGTGCTTAGCACAGTGCCAGGTACCCAATAAGTGCTCAATAAATGTTTATTGAGTGAATAACTGAGACAGAGTACCATATTAAGTACGATCTCTGCTAGGTTTTTCCAAGCTCTGGAAATTGTATTGTATTTTTCCCACCAATTCTGCAGGCCAGAGTCCGTTTGCACTCTCTCTCAGTCAGAAATTTGTGCCTGTTTGAAAGCTCCAAAGTACATCACATCATTGTAGTTGGCTGCATGGTCTATCTGTAGATAAATCCTTTTAGAAAACTTTACCTGCAGATAAGATGCAGTATTTAATGGTTCAGTAGAACAGCTTGGAGAGTTTATTTTTCACAATATGGTTTATGCATCATAAACCAAAATATATAATTGGAATCAATGATGAGAAAGTGACACTACATTTTTCAGATCCAAAGGCCTGGGAACTGAACCCTCTGCCTAATCTACTGCCAAGCGCCCTGAGAATGCACAGGAGGAAAATAAATATGAATGAAAATTTTAACCAGGGAGCTGACAGGTCCAAAGCACTCCAAGTAGTTTTTCTGAACTCCTCGAGCATCAGATCATCTCTCCAAAGGGACACTAGAGACCATTTGGTCTAAAATCTTTTATATTTTATATGGGACAACCTGGGCTCCCAAAAGTGAAGTGACTTCCAGTCTTCCAGATTAAAGCATCCTATAAGTAGCAGAGCAAGTGTCCTTACTCAAAGAACCGCTTTTGAGCCTTTCTGCTACTTTCTTCTTCCTCTGTGTTCAGCTAAGTATTCTTCCTCTAAAAATCAAAGATGAGCTATAACATTAAGCAACCTTTCTTCAACTCCTCCCACCTAGAAGCATGTTCTCTGTAGTCACCTCTTTTTATATTCAGCCTATAGCAGACTTTCTCTGCTTGTTACTTCCCCTTTGGATTTTCTCTTTAGCCAAAATGTCCTATTTAAGTTGCAACAATCATTCACATCTTGGAATTCTGGCAACCTACAGAAAAATGACAGATGCAGGAAAAGCAAGTAGAGGAGGGCAATGTGAAGATCTGAGCTTTTAAAGAATAAAGAAATAGCTTCAATGACTTCTTGTTCATATTTCTAAGATTAATGTATTTAAATACGTAAAATACAAGCTCATCTGAAGCAGCTGTTCATTTGTGAGGTTTTTGGCACCAGATGCCTAGGCGTGACTTTTTGAAAATCGAATGATTGATATTCTCTTTAATCTTGACTTTTCATGTTTTTTGTGTGTGGATGTTTGTTTCTAACTAGATCTTAAAGCAAGTTGCAGGCTGAGAGATTTGACAGGCACTAGAAAACGTCTTCACTCTGGGTATCTTTCCATTTGGCTTATTAAACAGTCTTTCCGTTGGCCTATTAGACATAGAATCTTTTCATAAAGGCGTTGTGTCTCCAGGGGACTCCTATGAAATAGATAGTACTAGCATACCGAAGGTATGCTGGGTCATTAGCTATTGGATCATGGGTTGATTTATCAGGAAAGCAATTTTCACCCTGAAAATCTAAAAATATAACTTCTTACATAAATGAGAACTAAAACAGGTAAGTTTTGACACATAGACATCTGCAAAATGTCATGTCTAGAGGGAAAGAAGCAGGCAGAATGAAGAAATTTGGGTGGGAAGAGTAAGTAGTGAGAGTAGCTATAGGTGGGTGGATCAAGAGGTCAGGAGTTTGAGACCAGCCTGGCCAACACAGTGAAACCCCATCTCTACAAAAAAATACAAAAATTGGCCAGGCATGGTTGCATGCACCTGTAGTCCCAGCTACTTGGAAGGCTGAGGCAGGAGAATTCCCTGACCTTGGGAGGCAGAGATTGCAGTGAGCCAAGATTGCGCCACTGCATTCCAGCTTGGACAATAAAGCGAGACTTCATCTCAAACGTCTCAAAAAAAAAAAAAAAAAAAAAAAAAAAAGAGTAGCTATGATGGTACTTAATTAAAACATATTTCTTCCTCATTTTGCACAGGGCAAGACTTCATAGGAAAAAATCCTGACTCTGTGAGAATACAAATTTACTTACCTATTTTCTTTTTTACTATTTTGTGGACGCTTACTATACAAAGGGCTTAGTAGGCAAGGTGAGGGAAGAATACAAAGAGAGGTACAATGTTTGGTCTCAATCTTGGTTGAATTCCTAACATAGAAATGGAGGATGCAAAATTGGGCATAGTTAAATATGAGGTCAGGAAGACACATGTTAAGAATGAGGGCAGAAAGGAGGATAATTGATACATCCTAATAGTGTCAACTTTCTGTTTTTGAGACATCTCTGTGTTGCCTTTGTGATTCTACTTTTGTTTGGGTAGAAAGATATTCTTCCTTTAGAGAAAAGATGAAGTTTGGATTGAACACAAACAGGTATTTGTCTCAGTTATGCTAGAAGATATTTTTTCTTAAATGTGAAGCCATCCTCAACTCATCTTCTCTATACTACCCCATCAGTGACTCCCCTTAGCTGATACTTTGGAAGAAGATTTTGTTTTCCATTTCCTCTTTTCTTAGGTGATTGCTCCTTCATTAGATTTTATCCTTTTGGTGGGAAGGGAAACTAATGCTTTTCTGTATTAGTCCCAAATGCAAACAGCACAACTAAATTTACTATAACCAGATTCCAGAATTCAGATTTTTAACCACTTTACTACACTTTCTCCCAAAAAAGCTTCAGATGAAAACATCTAATTTCAGAAGTTATTAGGTAAATTTTAATGAATCACAGTATCTTCTGAGAAAAATTTATCCATTAATTCTTATCTACTAATTTAGCTTTCTTTTATCAATTTGAGTCCTTGGCCAAATTATGGAAGTCTGGAGGTGATGTTGGGTGGCAAGGTATCTTTTATCTTAGCTCTCTGAGCTCTGGTATTTGGAAGAAATTTCATCCAGCTTCAAGGTTTTCTGGAAAAGTCTGTTTCTAAAAATAAATACTTGCTTATTGCAAATTAGGACAATGTAGGGCAGGACATAAGCACCGTCTACATAGATTAGCGGATCTCAAGTTTTCTTTCAGGTTATCTTTTGCTCTCCCAACTCACTTATCATTTGGGTATTTTTTTTTTCTTTTTTCCCCAAATCTATTTAAGAAATTGACATGAGCTTTCTAGGCATTAGGCTCAGGGTTTCTAGAGTTTGGTTTGCTATCTCATAGGTCATCCCAGATCACATTGGATTTGATCACATTGGATTTGAACACATTGATTGCTATTACATTCCTTAGTGGAAAAATGCACTTCAGCTTAGGAGATCTTTAACTTGCCTCTTAGGACAGTAGGTGAAAGGGGCTGCCCCATGAGTTAAAAGTGCTATTATGCTTTATAAAAGATGAGGAATGAAGACATATCTTGCTACGTTGCCATGGAAGAGCTTGGTCCTCATATTTGCTTTGCAATAGAATCTTGTGTTTCATTTGAATGTGATTCAATTATGATGCTTGAATATTAAAATTTTATTCCCAAATCTTCTGACAAACCACAAATCATACTAGTAAATATCCATGGATCATGTTCTTTTGTTTTCTAGAAAAGTATAAAGAGTAGAGAAAACTCTATAGGGTCAGAGTTTAGGGTGTGGCAGAGGATAAGACTGAATATCTGCAGAGTTAAGCCAGCAATAAATTTGGGTTTACATTTGTGAAACTTGGTCATGAAATAACCTCAAGAACTTTCAGAGATAAATGATGCTGGGAAAGGATGAAACCAAGCTTTCTGGCCCCAATTCAAGCACATGCAAACTGAGGTGCTGGAGTATTGATAGCAAATGGTGGCTCACATAATAGCTAGCATTTTGTAAAGGGCTTTAGAGTTTACCAATCATTAGCGCACCTATTGTTTTTACCTGGTCCTATGAGATGGCTGAACTATTATCCCCAGTTCCAAGACCAGAGACTAATTTTTTTTTTTTTCTTTTTTTGAGATGGAATCTCACTCTATGCCCCAGGCTGCAGTACAGTGGCATGATCTCGGCTCACTGCAACCTCTGCCTCCCAGGTTCAAGTGATTCTCTTGCCTCAGCTTCCTTAGTAGCTGGGACTACAGGCACGTGCCACCATACCCAGCTAATTTTTGTATTTTTAGTAGAGACAGGGTTTCACCATGTTGGTCAGCCTGGTCTTGAATTCCTGACCTCATGATCCACCCACTTTGGTCTCCCAAAGTGCTGGGATTACAGGTGAGGGTCACTGCACCCGGCTGAGACTTTTTTTTTTTTTTTAATTTTAATGCCTTACTTATTGGTACAAGGCTAATAACTCAAAAAATCAGGGCTGAATCCATGTCCATTGACTTCTGATCCAGAATCCTCTCAGATACATCTAATCATTCAGGTACATCTAATCATTGAGGTTTCAGCTTAGGATACTGCTTTCTCTGGTAGACTTTTTTTTTC